GGGGGATCTGCTGAACCAGGTGCAAAGCATGTTGAACCACAGGAAATCTGCCACTATTCAACTATGTTTTTAAAAAGCCAATTTCCCACTGTTGGACCTCATACTACAGGCCTGTAGAAGAGGGAGCCATCAGACCAGGTGTCGGATGGCAGCAGGTCAGAGCAGGAAGGGCTCGTGGATATCATCACCTTCACCAGTGGTGAGAAGGGTCACTTGTGCTGAGTTCGCTCTTCCCGCTGACACTGCGTTAGTGAAGGAGGTGGAACTTGAAGGATTGTGAGAATCTGGATAATGATATTACATACAATATGTCCAAAGGATGGAGGATTGACTATCTAAACAACATCATTTCCCCAGCTTAACGCCACCACACACACGCAGGGCGTGGGCCACTGGCGTACATCGATATCCAATTAGGAAGAGGGATGGAAGGGATTCCCTATGGCCTGATAGCTCACTAGCTTGTGGAAGGCAGCACCATGCTTCCCCTTCTCACCCCTTCCACCGTGCCTGACTCTCCCCTTTGACTTCTCTTCTCTCTCCACACCCTTCCCCCAACAGGTACCCACACATCTCAGCTGGTGCAAGGTTTGAACCCTGCGGCCTCCAGCTCATGCCCAACCCACTTCCCAATGACTTAGCCAGGAGCTGGCCCTGCCCAAACCCTCAGCCTCATTACCAGGAGAAGGTGCTGAAGCTAGCCTTGCTGCCAGGTGTGCCCCTGAGCCAGGACCTTGTGAGAAAGTACCAAACCCTGATAGAAGACCGGGTTGCCTTGCCCCTCCACCATCTCTCCAAGGCACAACATGACAAAGCCTCAGCAAGAAAGAGAACGAGAAGACCTGGACACATCTAGAAGAGCCTCCAGATGCATGGGGACCACGGCGGGCACACAGACCCCCAGGCTTGTGTTGTCAACCAATGCACCTTCAGCAAGAAGCCTTTGGGGTAGCTGAAGGACTCTGGCTTCTCTAGAACAGAGCCTCTCCACCATCCCCCCAACCTCAAGCCACCTCTGTACCTCAGGCTCCTGGAGACTCTACTGAAACTCTAAACTGTTATCTGTCTTCCTTGGAGGACTCTCTCATAGCAGGTCGGAGGATTGGTGGGGGGATAGAGCAGGGAAAGCAGAAGGGGATCCAGTTCCTAGTGACAGACAAGGAGTGGGGAGGAAGAAGGGTGTGTGTGCTGGGGTAGGGGAAGAGGCACTGTAAGAAATGTGAGTAATAAGAAGTTACCTCCACTCCCATAACCCATTTGGAACAAGACTGAGATTGGTTAGGGTACAGGAAGCTTCTCAGGCAAAAATAACCTCGATTCCACCCCTCCCGGGACCATTTGATGTCTGCACAAAGACCGGAAGCAACTCTGCTGGGTTGCAGGTCCCACGCAGCATTTGGGGGAGCAGAGGTCAGGCCAAGGCTGGTGCTAGAGGATGGGAGAGTCAGGTCTGAGGAAGGCTGACCAGGCCTCTGTGGAGGGACAAGAGTAGAACAAAGTAGAGATTCAAGGTAAAAGTCAGAGTGGTACCCCAGAGCATTACCTTAGGGCTTTGGGCCTGTGCTGCAGTTGACCCCAGGTGCTTTTGCAACGGAGAGGCCCAAGACAAGTGGCCTAAAGTGGAGGTGGGCAAAATGCATTGGTCAGAAAGGTACAGACCCTGGTGGGGTGGAGATTGGGTGGGAGAGGGCCGGCAGGAGGCCTGGTGGAGAAGGCACCTGGGAGGTGGCTGGAGAAGGAGCCACCTCACCTCCATTTGTCCCATCACACCCCAAGTTGGTGATCTTCCCCAGCTGGGCTTCTCTTGGCTTTTTGCCCACTGCCCTCTTACCCTACTTTTCTCAAGCCCTCTGGGCACCTGGGAATCAAAACACCAGCAAGCTTCTAGCCCTGGTTTAACCACTAACCAGCTATGTGACCTTGGGGAAGGTCATGTATTCCCCTCAGGCTTTCAGTTTCCTCATCGGCACCACGGGAGCCACCAGGATATAAATAAGTGAAATAAATAAAATAATGTAAGTGAAGAACCTGAAAAGTGTCTGACACATTGTAGGTCCTCCATAAATGAGGCTATCAACTATTATTCATAGAATAAAAGTAATAAATGGATGGAATATTATTCAGCCATAAAGAGGAATAAAGTAGTGATACATGCTACAATGTGGATGAACCTTGAAAACATCATGCTGAGTGAAAGGAGCCAGACACAAAAGGCCACATATTGTATGATTCCATTTATATGAAATATCTAGAATAGGCAAATCCATAGAGACAGAAGGCAAATTGGTGGTTGCCAGGTGCTGGGGGAGGCGGGGATGGGGACTGACTACTTAATGGATACAGGGTTTTCTTTTGGGGTGATGAAAATATTTTGCAACTAGATAGAAGTGGTGGTTGCACAACATCAAGAGTGAAAGAAATGCCACTGAATTGTATACTTTAAAATGGCAAATTTTATGTTATGGGAATTTCATCTCAATTAAAAATAATTATAATAAATGGGGTGTGTATAGAGAGTTTCCAAATTTCCTTCCAGTTCAAAATCTATAATTCTATCCCACAGTCCTTCTCCTTGCCACCTCTTCCCACGGTATGTTTCGGATGTGGGGGGGTGGAGAGGACGAGAGCCAAGGGGTGAAGGAGAATCTCCAGAGTACTCCAGGGGATTGCTGGGGCTCTGGGAATGTACCCATTCTCCCCACTCTGGATCAGGAATGATGGTGGAAAGGGGGAGGTCCCTTTACCTAGGATACTAACGCGTCACAGCTGGACAGCCACTAGGAAACAAGTGGAACCCTCTCAGTGTTCAGATGGTAAACAAGGGCCCATCAAGAAGTGATTACTGGAAAACTGGACAGCCACATGCAAAAAAATGAAAGTAGACTGTTACCTCACACCATACACAAAAATTAACTCAAAATGGATTAAAGACTTGAATGTAAGACCTGAAACTATGAAACTTCTAGAAGAAAACATAGGCAGTACACGCTTCGACATCAGCCTTAGCAACATATTTTCAACCACCATGTCTGACCGGGCAAGAGAAACAACAGAAAAAATAAACAAATGGGACTACATCAAACTAAGAATCTTCTGCACAGCAAAGGAAACCATCAACAAAATGAAAAGACAACCTAACAATTGGGAGAAGATATTTGCAAACCATACATCTGATAAGGGGTTAATCTCCAAAATATATAAAGAACTCATGCATCTCAACAACAAAAAAAGTAACAACCCAATTAAAAAATGGGCAAAAGACCTGAACAGACATTTCTCCAAAGAAGATATACAGATGGCCAACAGACACATGAAAAGATGTTCAACATCATTAACTATCAGGGAAATGCAAATCAAAACCACAATGAGATATCACCTCACGCCCATCAGAATGGCTACAATTAACAAGACAGGAAACAACAAGTGTTGGAGAGGATGTGGAGAGAAGGGAACTCTCATACACTGCTGGTGGGAGTGCAAACTGGTACAGCCGCTATGGAAAACAGTGTGGAGATTCCCCAAAAAATTAAAGATAGAACTACCATATGATCCAGCTATTCCACTGCTGGGTATTTTTTTTTTTTAAAGATTTTATTTATTTATTTTTTTCCCCCAAAGCCCCAGTAGATAGTTGTATGTCATAGCTGCACATCCTTCTAGTTGCTGTATGTGGGACGCAGCCTCAGCATGGCTGGAGAAGCGGTGCCTTGGTGCGCGCCCGGGATCCGAACCCGGGCCGCCAGCAGCGGAGCACGCGCGCTTAACCGCTAAGCCACCGGGGTGGCGCACTGCTGGGTATTTATCCAAAGAACTTGAAAACACCATTGCATAAAGATACATGCACCCCTGTGTTCATTGCAGCGTTATTCACAATAGCCAAGACTTGGAAGCAACCTAAGTGCCCATCAAGGGAGGAATGGATAAAGAAGATGTGGAATATATACACAATGGAATACTACTCAGCCATAAGAAACGATGAAATCCAGCCATTTGTGACAACATGGATGGACACTGAGGGTATAATGCAAAGCGAAATAAGTCAGAAGGAGAAGGTCAAATACCGTATGATCTCACTCAACAAGTAGTAGATAATAACAACGAACAAACACATAGAGACAGAGATTGGATTGGTGGTTACCAGAGGGGAAGGGGGGAGGGAGGAGAGCAAAAGGGATAATTAGGCACATGCGTGTGGTGATGGATTGTAATTAGTATTTGGGTGGTGAACATGAAAACATGATGTAATCCATGCAGAAACAGAAGTATAATGATGTACACCTGAAATTTATACAATGTTATAAACCAATGTTACTGCAATAAACAAAAAATTAAAACAAAAAAAAAAGAGGTGATTGGCTCCAGGCCACACAGCCAGGCAGTCCTTGCCCTCCTGGTGGTAGAACAGCAGGCACAGGCTGGGAGCGAGGACTCCAGGGCCTGTGTTGTCATCCTGCTTCTCAGGCTACTTGCCCATGACGCCTGGGTTTTGTCACCTCCACAATGAGAGGCCCTGGGGATACCTAGAGGATTCATATGAAGATTTAGGGGTGGGAGGATGGAGGCCATTTCTTCAGAGAAAGCCACCTACTCTTTGTCCTGAGCTAGGGCAGAGCAGAAAGGTAAGCTGCACTTACCCAGACTCCTGCCTTGGCAGACCCAGACCACCCCAGACGCTGCTAGCCTCATGTCAAATAGACTTCCACCGCACCCACCGCCTTCCCACTCTGCTCTCTGGACAGCAGCCTCCTTCCTGTTGGCAGGGGGATTATAGCATTATCAGGGCGCCTGTGTCCACGGTGCAGAAGGAAGACTCTTGAAATTCCTGAACTCCAGGGGGCCATGGAGATCTGAGGGACAACAACAGCATCCATACATCCTCCTGGGCCTGGGGCTCTTCTAAGGCAATCCCCAGCTCAGCCTGCCAGCAACCATGAACACTAGCCCCTGCTCACTCCCTCACACATGCACAAATGAATATGGAGTTCTTGAAAACCTTTGGTGGGGTAGAGTGCGAGATCCCTGTAACCTGGGCCTGTCTTAAAGACCTACTCTCCCACCACACTTTTGAGAGTTGATCTGAGAGGGAAGCAGGGATGGACACCCTCCCCCACATACCCAGCACGCCACTCCCCAGAACACCATGTGCCCTGCTGAATGCCACCAGCTTCATGCACACTAATTAATCCCAGCACAGAGGCCTTCAGAGCCACTTCTGGGTCAACACCTCGCCTCTTGCAACCTCCCTCTCCCTAGCCTGGTATTGGTCTCATGAGCTGTGTTGCTGAGGCCAGCTCAGGTTCCTGAGTTGCTGGGGGCCTGAGGAATGGTGGGAGGAGCCAGTGAGTGCTGGAAGCTGTGGTGGCTGGGAAGCCCTGGGGGAGATTCAGGGCCAGCCACATGCCAGTCATGATCTTCACTCTTCATTCTTCAGCTGGCTGTCTGCCAGGGTTGTCCTATCTAATTGCCTCGCCTCAAAAAGCCCCATTGCTAGTCTCTGAGGTGACAAATCAAAGCCAAGTTCCTCTCTCCCTGCCCTAGACTCTCTCTCCACCTTCCGCAGGGCCCTCTGGCCTCTTGTTTCCACTCAGTGCTGACTCACTGCAAGCCCTCTGTCTTCTTGCTGCCCTTCCACCTCCGAGCCCTCTCCTAGTCGTGCTGTCCACTGAGCCACATACATGTGCTCTTTCCATTACACAATGTAAATAATTGTTTTTGCCTGTTTATCATCATATTTAGTGGTTTCCATGGCTGTTCATATAGTTGCCCATTTCACGTTAGTCTCAAGCCCACACATACTCTGCAGGTCCCGGGACAGAACCTCACAAACGCCTCCATGCTTGTAAGATAATGTTGCTGCATCTCACCACTGCTCAAACTCCAAGGTAGAAGTTTCGATGTGTGGCTTCCCTTAGCCCACCATCGTTTTCACTGGATGTTCACTGAACATTAACTGTCAGTATCATGACATGGTTCCTAGGTAACAGTCAGTGACTTCTTTAGCACTTGCTTAAGTCATGTCCAGGGGTACAAGAGCAGGCCCAAAGCTTAGGCAAGGAGGAAGGAAAAAAATGGAGGGAAATGGAAGCAGGAAAGAAAGCAGATAAACACAAGAAGGAGGAAGAGAAATGCTGAAGCCAGAGGCAAGACAAAACAG